TGGGCAAGACAGGAAAAAAAAAAAAACCAACATAATATTGAAATCTTTATAGCGTTTTTATGCCCCGTCTTCCTTTTTTTGGTAATCAGATCTTGATGAAGAGTTGGAATGAGCAGCCAGAAGAACATTAGGTTTTTCCTGGCTCGGTTCCGGTCCACCACATAGAGGGGGGGAAAGGGAGCAAACAAATCAGTGGCTTTACAGTGCTGCTGCAACAAAAATGTGTCTAAAAACCTTCATAATACCATCACTTTAAGAAAGTAACCAGCTGCTCGCTTGCAGGGCAGAACGTATTTTGTTTCCTAAATAAAGATTTTGTTTCCTAAATAGAGCAATGACTTGCTGTAGTAGTGTAGCTGTGGGGATGTACAGATGTAGGGATGTGTAGTGGTATAGATGTAGGGATGTAGGCAGATCCCTCTCCCGGTCACGATGACTTCCCAGGGTTAAAACAGGGCAAGAAGGAGACCCTGGCATCCGTGCCCGCTGCTGGAGGGCTGACGGGGCTCTGGGAAGGCCAAAGCCACCCCCTTTTTTGGAGGAAGAGCGGGCCACCACGGGTGGTGGGTCCCCATCTCACCAGCTTGAATATCTGGACCCTGTTGGACCAAAAGCGCTTTGGACATTTTCGTTTTAGGTTGTTTGAAGAATATCTGGACCCTGCTGGACCAAAGCGCTTTGGACCTTTTCATTTTAGGTGTTCTCACACTTTTTTTTTCCCTTTCAGAGATGCTGGGACCATTCCAGCCAACATGAAGTTCATCGTCGCAGCTGCTCCAGCTCTTCCCCCCACTGCTACTTCCTCCGCCTCCAACAAGCAAAGAAGTAAACTATAGCTTTTTGGTTGTTTTTTTGTTTGTTTGTGTTTTTTGTTGTTTTTTTGTTTTGTTTTGTTTTGTTTTGTTTTGTTTTGTTTTCTGACAACACTCTTTCTCTACACCTCTTCATTCACACCTCTCCATATGACCAGAGTCTCCATCCCACCTCCAGCCCCCCTCTCTGCCACCGTCCCCTCCACCCCTTGGTCGTGTCCCCCCCCCACCCTGCAGTAGACCCTGTCAGTGTTTCGAGGGGCATTTTTTTTTGGGGGGGCGGATGTTTTCCAGCTGCAGCATGTTCTTCACCCCGTTAATTTTGGGGGCTGGTTGGTTTTTTTTTGTTTTCTCCCACCACTGCTGGGGGCTGCCGCGGCCCGAGCGCTCGCTGCCTCCGCGGAAACCAGCGGGAAAGGGCTTTTTGGGTTTTTTATTATTATTATTATTTATTTACTTTTAGAATATTTGGGAAGACGCTCAAGGCCAAAAAATAAAATAAAAAAAAAATTCTAAAATAAATCAAATCCGAAGACTTAAACGCGAGCTTCTCGGAGGCGCAGTTTGCGCGACGGTGCAAAAGTTATAAATGTGTTTTCTTTCTCCAAATGCTTTGCCACCCCCTTTTTTGGAGGAAGAGCGGGCCACCACGGGTGGTGGGTCCCCATCTCACCAGCTTGAATATCTGGACCCTGTTGGACCAAAAGCGCTTTGGACATTTTCGTTTTAGGTTGTTTGAAGAATATCTGGACCCTGCTGGACCAAAGCGCTTTGGACCTTTTCATTTTAGGTGTTCTCACACTTTTTTTTTCCCTTTCAGAGATGCTGGGACCATTCCAGCCAACATGAAGTTCATCGTCGCAGCTGCTCCAGCTCTTCCCCCCACTGCTACTTCCTCCGCCTCCAACAAGCAAAGAAGTAAACTATAGCTTTTTGGTTGTTTTTTTGTTTGTTTGTGTTTTTTGTTGTTTTTTTGTTTTGTTTTGTTTTGTTTTGTTTTGTTTTGTTTTCTGACAACACTCTTTCTCTACACCTCTTCATTCACACCTCTCCATATGACCAGAGTCTCCATCCCACCTCCAGCCCCCCTCTCTGCCACCGTCCCCTCCACCCCTTGGTCGTGTCCCCCCCCCACCCTGCAGTAGACCCTGTCAGTGTTTCGAGGGGCATTTTTTTTTGGGGGGGTGGATGTTTTCCAGCTGCAGCATGTTCTTCACCCCGTTAATTTTGGGGGCTGGTTGGTTTTTTTTTGTTTTCTCCCACCACTGCTGCCCTCTCTGGAACTTTGCCTTTATTATTATTATTATTTATTTACTTTTAGAATATTTGGGAAGACGCTCAAGGCCAAAAAATAAAATAAAAAAAAAATTCTAAAATAAATCAAATCCGAAGACTTAAACGCGAGCTTCTCGGAGGCGCAGTTTGCGCGACGGTGCAAAAGTTATAAATGTGTTTTCTTTCTCCAAATGCTTTTTGTTTTGGGGGGTTTTTTGGGTTTTGTTTTTTGTTTTTTGTTTCTTTGTTTCTTTTTTTGTTTCTTTTTTTTTTTTTTTTTCGCGGCTTTGTGAATTAAACTAAAAGAATCCCGAGCAACGGGGGGATTCTTTAGAAATCGGAGGAAACACCGTCGCGGGCCGAGGATCAACACGCTTTCGCTTGGAAAAAAATTAAATAAATACATTTTTTAAAAAAAATAAAAGTCGAAATTCCCCTATTTTTTAGGAAAGAAGTAGCCAGAAGCGGCCCCCAAAAAGAAATGCTCTTTTTTTATTATTATTATTTTTTTTGTGGTGGTGGTGGTGTTTTCAAGATGCCATCCGTTCCTTACAGAAGGAAGGAAAGGAAGGGGGGGGATGGAGGGAGGGAGGGAGG